TCTTATATGCCGAAAAATACGGTAGACTGTTCCCATTCACCATTTTGAACAAGAGAAAGAGATTAACTAATCAAATGAATCTTGGCACAATTCATTCAAGACTTGTAGGCTCACCCAGTGGGTTTCCATGGCCAAGCAGGGAATTGAACCCTGATATCCAGAGTCCCAATCCAGCACTCAAACCACTACACCATGCTGGCTCCCAATGACAACAAAGCCAATAATACGTAACACACATCTGGTGTAGACAAATGCTAAACCACTCATGGAATATTTTGCGGTAGAACAGAGGTAAATATTTGTTGCATAAACTACAAAGGAGCAGCTAAGAAAGCCAAACAGAAACACATGCAACAGACTAGGGAGCAAAACAGATGGACAAAATAAGCAGGTTTCAGGCTGGCTTCAAGGAGGGGTGTTTAGATGATGCACATGTTGAAGCCAGCTGGAAAGTGCTCTCTAGCTGTCTTATGGGGAGAAAAGCCTCTTAAAAAAGAAGCTGCTTTTTTCCGCTTCTTCCCCGAAAGTGTGTACCTTTGCATGTGTGTATAAATGTACCAACGCCAGTGCAGTTCTAAGGGGGCACTCTTTCCAAACCCTAACCCTAATTATGCATGTAAATGCCCCATTGCAGGAGTGCATTTAAAAGGAACAGAGCTGCCATACACAAGTGGTGGGGGTGGCAATGCTAGGGATGGGTGAGCAAATGGAGGGGGGGCACATTCACTCTGAAAAATGTTGAAACATCCCCTCTACCAACCCTGGGTAATTTCATTATGTTTTTGGCCCTCTCTGGATGATTTTAGCCCCAAGAGAGCCTATTTTTCTCGGTCACTTCCCAATGGAAACATGCATCTCCTGGGGCTAAAATGAGTATTTAAGGCAAAAAGGAGGAAATGTTGGGGCCTAGAGGAACAAAAACAGCAACCACATGTTCCCTATCCCAGTTCAGATGCAATTTGGAACTCGATGGTCGAGTTATGCAGCTCTGATTACAATCTAACCGTAACAATTCCAGGTCTATAGTGTACATCATTATGTCTTTGGATTACTAGTTGATCCTGGATTTGTATTTTCATAACTTGTAGACTTTACAAAAATCTTCCAATAAGCGTCAGCTTAAAAACTTAGTTCCAGTTTGGAACCCTTCCAAATTGCTTAGGAACATAATTAAATGATAGAAAAGAGCTACTACCTGAAAGTTTAGTTGCTCCAGTACCACACTAAACCAGAAGGAAGGTGTTTCATAGGGCTGAAAATCTTTCCCATTGTGACATATTCATACACTTAAATCCACTGTGTTACATTTAAGAAGCATCCCCATACTTCTTCCTAGTCCTGCAGATCTTTTATTGAGAGGCTGCAGCTGGAAGGGGGAAATGCCTTCCACTCAGTCCTGCACAAAGCAGCAGCTCCACCAGTGGAATATACCCTCCCCAACACAATGATTATCTGATTGTTAATAGCTAACAATTTCTTTGTACTCTGGATATTTGGAGATGCACCAAATCCTACATACTACAACGCATCAGGTAATTAATATGTTACACTAATACTGCTATACAATCCACTTATAAAAAGAAAAAATAATGGCACTATTAATTTTTCATTTTTGTTAATTATTTTAATTATTTAAAAGATTTTTTTTTCATTCTCCTAACCTGTGCAATGTGTTCCATTTCCTGTTTGACATAAGGAAATCAAAATCAACCTCTTGGTGACTGGTTCAAAAAACTCGCAATTTTCAATAATTCCACAGAAATGACAGCTCCTGTCTCTAGTGTTATGCTGACAAGTCTTCCATAATGATACACTTCCAAAGTTACATGCATCTTTTTTTAGACTGTGTTGATAACCAGACACAAATATAGTCATTGGTTTAGCAAAGAAATGTCTTTTCTGTTTCCCACTGTTCTTTGATTATTCATTTGACTGAAGAAAACACCTACCTTCTCTGCAGCCATTTAGTTATCTAATAAATAATAATAATAATAATAATAACAATAACAACAACAACAACAACAACAACAATAATAATAATAATAATAATAATAATAATAATAATAATAATAATAATAAATTTTATTTATATCCCGCCCCTCTGTCAAGCAATCGGGGCAGCTCACAGCAATTTAAAACATCATACAATTTTAAAATACAATCCAAAATCCCACAACCCTCCCACCCCTTAAGAAGGAATTAAACAATTTTAACATTAAAACATGATAGTTAAACACTTAATTAAAACAATCCAAAAACAGACAAACAAATAGTAGACAGGACAGTAATTGTAGTCAAAAAAGGAGGGATAAAGGGGAATCCTGAGGCCGGGGGATCTTCACAAAGCTTTCAGCCAAGTCTTAGTTTTAGATTCATTTGAAGAATGTTAATGATGCTTTTCATGGCAAAGCTTAGCACATGGTGATCAGTGTAAGCCTGCTTTTATTTAATGAAGGAGGGGGTCATATGTGGCAATGATGATCCTGATAGCGTAAGCCCGTGAGACGAGACTTTTAATGGACATTTTAAAACAGGGGTTTTCAAGTTAACAAAAAGACAACAGTTTGAGATTCCAGTATTAATAGTAACCTAGAAAATGGCTATAAACACTCTGCTTTGAAGGAAGTGCTTCCTTATCAACTGGTTTGTGCTTATGAGAAATTACCCATGCTGAACTGGATACAAAGGACCAGAATTATTTCAACTTTTATGGACTAGAACATTAATTTAGCACATGCTTTTATTTTATTTATTTATTTTCAATTGCTTTTTGCACAGTTAGCCTATCCTAGCAAGAATATCTTTTAAAAAAAGATGGTTACCTTGAAAATGTACCATTTATACTTGACTATAAGTCAACCTCATGTATATGTTGAGGACACTTTGGGGGCCCAAAATTATGGATTTTGATATGACCCATGGATAAGTCGAGGGCAAAACTTAATGGCATGTAACAAAGGACGTAAAGGATGAAGCAAAGGGAAACGATGGCAAAGAAAAAATTCCAGCAGGCATAAATGTTTGTGCTAACCCTAAGTACTGGATGGATGAGGAGGGAACTATGATAAATTGTGGCTGTGCGATGTGTGTGTGGGGGGGGATGACCAGGCAAAGGCAGGGCTAAGAAAATGTGCACATGTCAACACTGATAAAAAAAGCAAAGCAAAGAAAATGGTGACTACATTAGCAGTGATTACAGCCTTTAACTTTAATATGATAATGTTGCCTGATTTTAACCCAGAAAAGCTGACAAACATACCAAAAATGTCTTCTACAAATCCTTCAAAGCCTGATTCCTTTCAGCACTCCTTTGAGGGGAAGCACCAAAGAGGTGCCACCAAGTCATTTTGCTGCCCAGGCATTCAAAAAGTGGTGCCATATCAGAGAGAATAGTCCTTCTTTTTGGTGCTTCTGGAACAGACTAAGCCGGGGTAGGCAACCTAAGGCCCGGGGGCCAGATGCGGCCCCTCCGAGGCCTTTGGACCGGCCCCAGGCCAGTCCTGCCGCCACCGCTGCCCCCCGCCATGATGATATTGATTATTGTTGTTATTACTTGTTCTTGGGGCTTTCTTGGCAAAATCTCCACAGGGGTTTTGCCATGGCTTTTCTGGGGTTGAGAGAGTGTGCATGCATATTTTTTTTAATTTTTTATATAATTTTTAATTTTAATTTTATTTATTAATTTATTTATTTTTGGTGCTTCAGCCCCCCAATTGTCTGAGGGACAGCAACCCAGCCCCTGGCTCAAAAAGGTTGCCTACCCCTGGACTAAGCACTCGCCTTTTGTCACTCTACTCAGAGAAGGGGATGGTTGCTTTTTTTGGTACATGCCATTAAGTACAATACTTACACTGACCTGTGGATAAGCCAACTCAGGTTTTTTGGGTCATATTTTTGACTAAAATTTCTAGACTTGTACATGAGTATATAGAGTACACACCTGCTTTCCAAGAAAAGGAAACACAAGGTAAGCTACTTTTTCTGGCCCAAAGATAGCTTTCCCCTGACCTCATCCAGCTGCAAACTGCTTTTAGTTGCTAGTGCATAAAGGGCTTATAGCTTGCCAAGCGGCTGCCTACACTTTCCCTGTTTCCCTGCCAATCTCCTAAGGGATCAGCACAGTTGAAAAACTAATTACTTCTACTCTACTACAGCAAAATGACTGCAATTATGACGGAGTTTTAAATTATTTGGCTATCACATGAGGCGGGCCTCCATGAAAGACTTTGTAGCAATGGCAAAAAATTGGCTCATGTAAGCAGGAACATGTTCTTATCAAGCTTAACTGTCATAGGTATGAAACAATGTCTGTTAATTTATTATTATATGGATATGTATTTATTTATATGCATAATAATCAATTAATAGACACTGTTTCATTCCTATGACAGTTAAGTTTGGTTAAAAAAAAACACATGCTCTTGCTTTTGGAAGCCAATTTTTTTGCCATTGCATTTATTTAGAGACCCAGTGTGATGCAGTGGTTTGAGCACCAGGCTACAACTCTGGAGAACCAGGTTCAAATCCCTGCTTGAGCATAAGAATCCACTGGGTGACCTTGAGCAAATCACACTCTCTCAGACAAGAAAACCCTATGATAGTTCACCTTAGGGTTGCCATAAGTCAGACATGACTTGGAGGCACACAACAATGACAATATTTATTTAGATAACCAATTAGAGGTGTAGTGTTTTGTGTGTTAGACTATGCCTCTGGAGACCAGCATTCTAATCCCTGCTCAACCCACCAGATGACCTTGGGCAAGTCACACGCTCTCAGCCTCAGAGGAAGGCAAGGGCAACCCCCCCCTGAACAAATTCTGCCAAGAAAATCCCATGATAAGAGTCACTGTAAGTCAAAAAGAACTTGAGGACACACAACAACAACTACATTTATTGATTTGATTTGTATCCCACTTTTCTTTCAAATACGACTCAAAGCAGCTTGCAATATAAGCTAAAAGAAAACAGCCAAAATGGTATAGAGTGCAGTCGGCCCTCCATATCCATGGATTCCTTATCCATGGATTCAAACATCAAGAGCATGAGCATATTTTTAAATAATATATAAACTGATTTTGCCATTTTATATATGAGACATCATTTTACTATACCATTGTAAAAAATGGGACTTGAGTATCCATGGATCTTGGTATCCATGGGGGGTCCTGGAACCAAACCCAGAGGATGCCTAGGGCCCC